TGTTTATTAATGACTGAAAAGCAAAGAGAATTACATTTCAAAATGTAAAATTATTATATCCATTTGTCCTCTTTACGGTCACCGCCACTCCGCAAAACAAAGTTGGGTTGCAATTTTCTGGTTGCTACTGCAAACTTTCGGACACATTATGTGAAGACCCAATTCTCTGGAAAAGGCTGTGATGCTGGGAAAGGTGGAAGGCAAAAGAAGAGGATGACCAGCAGCAAGGTGGATGCACTCAGATACAGTGGCAATTAGTTGGGAGACCTGAAAGAACAGGTTAGGGATAGATCATCGTGGAGAAAATCTATCTGTGTGGTTGCTAGGAGTCAAAAACAACTTGATGGAACATCATAAATCAAACAATCACTGCTAACTTTGTGATCTGTGGAGTAAGAAGAATTCTTATCCCTTAAAAAATCTGTTAGTATCTGTAGAGTTGTTCCACTGCTGGATAAAGTGTAACACAAAATTTCTTCTTAGACTGACTTAAAATTGGCAGGCAAGAAAATAAGAAACTTGCTCAATTTCTCCAAAAATGCAGATTAACCTAGAGAAGGCAGAACAATCTTCCATCTAGGATTACTGTGCTCATGAAAATTTAATGTAGAAAAATCTCTCCTCACTGAAAGGAAGAATTCATTTTACAGACAGTGTGCTTTATTGTATTTGGATTTTAAATTATATCAGGAATGTTTGCAGCTGGGGTCAAAAAAATCAAGATGGCAACTGTGATGATGCAAAGTTCTGCCTGCTTTTTATATGAGTTACCACACATAAAAACCAAGCGGATCTTCAACTATACTGTTAAGTGAGGCCAGAATGCCTAACAATGTCCAAGCGAATTATCTCTTTACAGCCATCCTCTCTGCAATGAATTATGAACATGTGCTGAGACCCGACATTCAAGGAAATACTAAGTTCCTAATTTAGGTAGGAGGGATATATTTATTTTATTTGGAATGTGGTGTCTTACCTTGTTTTCCCTATATTTTAATTTTCCTAATAAACTCTTTTGTTATCTAGAGACCTGGTTCTGTAAGCTTAAAATATAAAACCTTCCCCATGGGGAAGAAAGCATTATTGAATAGTGAAGACTGAATATTCAAATGTCTATGTTTTGCATACACATACATCTTACATTATAAGATCAAGGTGCTTCGGATGGTCCTCACTCTGTTGGGGTACAGGAATTCCCCAGATTGTGGTCTCTTGGGGGTTATGTCACAAGTATTGTCATTTGCTACCTCTGTATTATTTTTTGCAAGAGTGTTGTGTTCAATCATGAACAAAATTTCTTAAAAAGAAAAAGTCATCTAAGGAATTTGATTTCTAACCTACAAGACATTTTTTCTTAATTTTTACCCTATCAGGGCCTTATGCTATGGTAGAAACAATGGTTTCACCTGGAGTGAGGTTCATCTCTTCTGAGTAATTTCTCACATGTACTGTCTGTCCCGGTGTATATTCTGGCGGTAATTACTTGTACCAAAGAGAAGGAAGTATATTCTTGTTGAGGTCTGTAGAGAATAAATGGCTATAGAGAGACAAGAGATGAGCAATAAAGTCTTGCTAAGCATACTTTATTAGGCAGACTCCTTTATCAGCAAGAAAGGCTAGCATGTACAGCTAGAATAAATGAACAGCTGGTGCAGCTGGAGAGTTAGTGAAATGCAGGATGTGGTTAAACTGCAAAGCTTTGCTTCTGGAACTAGAGCAACCAGAAAGGAGTTTAAAATGTCAGCTATGCTAACATAAGGGGATTTTGATCTACCACTAGGTACCATCTGTCAGGAAAAGAAAAACCACCTGATTTAGCAAACACATAGGTCTTAGAAACCTGGAAACCCAAAGCCACCCATGTAGGTTGCCATAGCAGTACTGATATTTTGTTAAGCATGCAGAGAATACACTGTAAGTAGGGAATTTCCTGGTTGCTTAGAAACACAAGTAAAGAATGATCAAATATGGAGTACTTCATATAACAGCCAATGCAATAGTAACACCTGGATCTCTTTGTGTTTAAGCCAGTGTTGTCCAAACTTGGCATGAGGAATTCTGGGAGTTGAAGTCCACTCATCTTAAAGTGGCCAAGTTTGGACAACGCTGGTTTAAGCTGACTATAAAAGCCTGCTTGTGTGCATGCTTGGGGTCTCACCCAAGGAATGTTACTCAATGTGTTCTTGACCATGGCTCTGCAGACTCTTCATAAAGGCATTTTGGAGACTTTCAAACCATGTCCTGAGTATGGGAACAGTCCAGAACCTCATCACGCAGGTGACTGAGAAGGGAGAAAGGTGTTCCTAGTTTTAATCGTGAATCAGTGAATATGCTTGAAAAGTTGCTTGTATCTGTGTGCATTCATTAGCATATATAAGGCCAGCAAACCTATATGAGTGCTCACACCTGCATCTTGAAGCTGTGGTACCTGTCTGGAGTGGATGGCAGCAGTAGGAGAGGCGGTACCATTAGCAGAAATCATCAGCTACAACAGGCATGACTGCAAATGTTATCATACAGAGCGAAACCAGGCTATATACCTATGCACGTACGCTTGCTTTGAAACATAGTTCTGCTTTGTAAAGAATTTCAATTTAATGTTTAAAGAACCTACTTTTCTGTGCATTGGAGCAAACATGGAAATGTACATTATGCCTAAGATGATTTACACAGGATGACCGTCTGTTTCTCTTGTTTCTTGAACACATCATTACTATGTTAACTGGAAGCAATCCCCGATATTTCAGCTGGTCTTTTTTCAAAGACTTAATACAAAATAAATGTGTAATATATAAATAAGCATATACATGAGCTGCAACTCTTACTAACTTAATAAATGCATAATATGGTTGGAATATTTTCTTCATTTGCTGATAATAATTTTAAAATAATATAAGGATTGGTGAAAGATTGTACAGGCAGCAGTCATGCCATTTTATAGAGGGAAAATTGGCTCCGCCATTATGAGTACATGAGCACATAATGTAGCAAGACATATGTATAGGAAGATAAATCTCTTATGTATAGGAAGACATATGCATAGGAAAGATATAAATGCCCATTTATATAGATGTTGTGGTTAACCATAGATTAGCATTGTAAAGGAAACATCTGTTTTAACAAGATATGAAAGGAAGGAAGGATTGCATGAGATGTTCATGCTGAAAAGTATTGTAAAAGGTCAGTGCATTCCATCCATGTTGCTAACGAATGGCTAAATCTGTAAACCAGAAATCTATAAGAAGGGCGACAGAGGAGCAATCCGACGCGGCTGTCACCCACTGTTACTCGACAATCTTGGGTTGAATAAACATATTTTCTTTGACCTCCGCTGATCGTCTGGCGTATTTTATTGGATTTATTTATTTGTATGGCCACCCAACTCACCAAGTGACTCTGGGTGGTGAACAAAATTTAAAAAATAAAAACAATTAAAATAATCCAAACATTAAAATGCATAGCAGCCGAGAATAAAGCACCTATCATGACTAAATTAACCACAAAACAGGTCCCTGCACACACTCAGGCCCCGAGGCCTGGGCGCTGAGCCAGGTCTTTAAGGACTTTCGAAAAGCCAGCAAGGTTGGGGCCATCTTGATCTCTGGAGGGAGGATGTTCCATAAGGCAGGCGCTACGGCAGATCAGGCACATCTTCTAGGTCCCGCCGACTGGCATTCCTTACTGATGGGACCTGAAGCATGCCCATTCAGTCTGACCGGATCAGATGGGTAGAAACAACTGGGGAGAGACAGTCCCTCAACTAACCCAGTCCAAGCCATGAAGGGCTTTAAAGGTAACAGCCAGCACCTTGAATTGCACCTGGAAGCACACTGGCAACCAATGCAGCTCACAGAGCAGAGGTGTTACATGTGCTGAATAACCGGCACCATTTACTACCCGTGCTGCTGCATTTTGCACCAGGTGAAGCTTTTGAATGCTCTTCAAGGGCAGTCCCATGTAGAACACATTGCAGTGGTCCAGACAGGCGGTCATGAAGGCATGAGTGACAGCGAGCCCAGCTTCCTGGTCCATGACCGAGCACAACTGGTGCACAACCCGAAGGTGTGCCAAGGCCCTCCTAGCCACGGCTGCCACCTCCTCCTCAAGCAGGAGCCGTGAGTCCAGGATTGTGCACTGGGTTTGTCTGAGGCAATGCCACCTCACCCAAGACTAACGATGGAAAGTCATCAGTACCAGAAGGTCCAAATACCCAAAGCCACTCAGTCTTGCTTGGCTGAGCTGAAGCCTGTTGCACCCCATCCAGGTCCCCAGAGGCTCCAGACCCTGGGACAGGACGTCCACAGCATCACTCAAGCAGCCTGAGGTATAAAGCTGGGTATCATCAGCCAACTGGTGATATCTCACCCCAGACTGTCGGATCACCTCACCAGCAGCCTCATGTAGATGTAAAACAGGAGGGGAGAAAGAACCGAGCCCTGAGGCACCCCACAAAGTAGGGGCCACGGCTTGGACCTCTCCCCTCCTACTGACACCGACTGGAACCGGCCCCGGAGGAAGGAGGAGAGCCAACACAGCACCGTGCTGCTCACCCCCAACTCCCGGAGCCGGTCCAGAAGGATGCCATGAACACATAAACAAACACATCCATGAGCTGGAACTCTTACTCAATAAGTGCATAATACATAAATAAGCACGCACATGAGATGCAACTCTTACTAATTTAATACATGCATAACACATAAATAAGCAGGCACATGAAGTGCAACTCTTAGTAATTTAATAAATGCATAATACATAAACACACACATACACGAGCTGCAATTTAACCCAGCGCATTCGGGCTGGCGGGGCGATCGAAACCGAAAGCGGCACGCGCCACTCGCGTGCTTCTCCGAGACCGCGTCTCCCGGTTCCAGGCGAAACCCTTAGAAGCCCTCGGGGAGCCTCGCTGCGCTTGAAACACTACATTTCCCAACGTGCTCTGCTCTCGCCCAGGGACGCTCTGAGAATTCCAGCTCCCCTTCGCCAGCCAGGTGGGCTAGCTCCGCAGCCAGGGACGGGCTGGGAGGCGCCGAGCGCGCCCTCTCTGAGGAAATGAGCGACGGTTTCTGACCGGGCGGCACCAGCCCGGCCTGTGAGGAAAAGGAAGCGAGCGGCCCAGGCCTGGCGATGAGTTGCCGCTACGGAGGCGGAGGCGGAGGCGGCGGGGCGGTTCGGTCGCTCTTGGAGCTGTAAGTGGCCGATCCTCCCAGGGCCTCTCCTCGCCGGGCAGATTTCTCTCCCGAGGCCCGACCTTCCCTTCTTTCACCCAGCCTCCCTCCATCACTCCCCTGGTTGCTCTACATTTTAGTCCTTCGTTGCCAATTTTCTTCCTCCGCTCGTTGCTCGGCTCGTTGACGGGAGCAACGTCCGAGCCCTCACGAACCTAGTACTGTTTGGGCCGTGACCCTGAGCATGTTCAGAGGGCCGTTGGCAGCGCGTCACCGATGTGCCTTTCCGCTGAGGGAAAATGGAGGAGGTGGGAAGAAAGTCAGGTCACTAGGGAAGCCGGGAAAGCTAAACCCCAGACTGACCTGAGGTGAAACAGTGATATGAACAACAAAAAGCATTGCTGAAATACGTTCAGAATGGGAGAAAGGCTGAGGAATCCGGATCCTAGCTGCTTAATGACAGTGGCAAAATCTGATGCCAAAGGAAAGGTAGAAATATTCAGCTCCTCTTTTGGCTGTGTCTCTAACAAGAGAGCTTGTATTCAGCCAGGCATTTCTGAGAAGCAGGATGAAGCATGGCCGATGAATTTAAATCTCCAGTAGGAGATTAACTGCATCCTAGGATTTGGGGGAGATGTCAAAATCTGCAAGATGTGGCCAGGTAGCATCACAAGCCCCGCCCTTTTGTACATGCTTGTGTATTGCACCTGTGCCCACCATCTCACAGATTTCCTCACTTCCCCCAAGACAGCTGGGATACTGAAAGAACTTGCTGATGGTCTGGCCAAACTTTTATGTATTATCTTTGTAAAATCCTAAAAACAATGGCCAGAGGAGGATGGCAAGGGTGGTTCATCTTCAAAATGGATAAGGAAGATCTGGGAGACCAGAGATTAGCTGGTCTAACATCAAAACCTGGAAAGAGTCTAGAGTAGATCATAAAGAGATTGATACATAAGTGTCTTGATAATAATCACCAAGTTAGCATGAGTTTATCTTGTGCAAGTAACCTCATCTCATATTTTTACTCAGAATTGTGGGGCTGCTTCGATGTAATATAGCTTGACTTACTGTACATACTTGTGGATAAGCTGAGAATTTTAGGTGCTGAAATACACCACCAAAATTGGGTTTGATTTATCCATGGATGAGCTTATCTGTGAGTAAATGTGGTAATACTTTTTAAAAGTACCTGTATATCCTGAATATACTCACAGATAAGGCCATCTGAAGGTAAGTAGATCCTCAAATTTTTAACCAAAATACCATGAAAAATGGGCCACCTGCAGATAAACCAATTGTGAGTATTAAAACATACAAAAATTGAGGCTCAGCTTATCTGCAAGTAGTGCATTTTTCATGGTATTTTGGTTAAAAATTCAAGGGTCATCTTATCTGTGGATGGGCATCTATGTGAGTATATATGGTAAGCAAAGCATTTCACAAATAACTCATGATACTCAGATTAAGAAGTTAGTTAACTGTGGGGTAGATGATAATGTGGATGATATATAGTTGGCTTGAAAATCAAATTCAGAATGCTCATCAATAATTCTTTATGAAATCAGAAGTCAGAGAATTATTGAATGGGCTCTCAATTAGTTTAGCCTGGACCACGTACTTATCAATGTTTATTAATGACTTAGACAAGAGGGTAGAGGGAGAACCTGTGAGCCAGTTTGGTGTAGTGGTTAAGGTATCATGCTAGAAACTGGGAGACAGTGAGTTCTAGTCCCGCCTTAGGCACAAAGCCAGCTGGGTGACCTAGAGCCCTCTCTCTCAATCCTAGGAAAGAGGCAATGGCAAACCACTTCTGAAATCTTACCGGGAAAACTGCAGGGACTAGTCCAAGGAGTTGCCAGGAGTCAAAAACTGACTGGAAGGCACCAACACAGAGGAAGAACTTATTAAATTTGTATGTGCCAAAAATGGATAGGCTAGCTAATATCTAAGAAAATTCAAACTGATCTTGATAGGTAAGAGAAGTGAGCTGGGAAAAAAAATAAAATAAAATTTAACAGACACTAATACCAAGTTTTTCACGGTTGTGTGATGGTGATTTGCAACCCTTTTTACAACAGTCGTTAAGCAAATCACCTGGTTGTTAAGCAAAACCGTCCATTGGAGAAGCTGGATTTGTTTAACAACCACATGATCCGCTTAATAACCATGGTGATTTGCTTAACAACTGTTGTAAAAATGGTCATAAAATTGGGTCTGGTCATGTGGTGACTCGCTTAGTGACCACCCCACTTAACCAACTTTCTGGTCCCTATTGTCATTAAGTGAGGACTACCTGTAGCCTCTCACGGCTGGTTGTCAAAGGATACTGCAGTCTCCACAAACCTGGAGTCTTCCAGATGTCTTGTAACTATAACTCCCAGAATGTTCAGCCAATGTAGCCCTTCCACAAGTTGTGGCCTGAACTACAAGAGGGCCTCAGGTTGGTTTCTAGAATGGGAATCTCATATAACTATTAAGGTTAATAGCTATGGCAGATGTTTCCTTCTGAATTTTTCTGATCCTGTATTTTTGTACCATAATTATTTACCTAATAATTCATGCCTCATGCATGACAGTAATGGACAGATAGTGTGAAACAACCCCTATTATTTAATCATTAAATAATTTTTTGTGAAACATTTTTATCAATGTAAACCTACAGCGTATACTGTAGGTAAAATCATATTCTCTGATTTTGCAATCTCTGTGCATTGTTTTTTTAAATCATTTTTTAAATAATTTTCAGTCAATTTTTGGTGGACTGCTGTCAAATATTCAGAAAATTAATGGCTTTGACATCGGATGCTTTATTGTATTTCCTGGCTGACACAGTCCCACCTGAAGCCAGCCAAAGAAATGTCAGATGGTTGCTGTCGTGTTTATTATTATTGTTTTGCTAGAAGCCTTTCTTGCACTTCATTTGGATGATATAACCAAATCCTTGGAATTATATGCGTTTCCTCTCTTAATATGTTTTCAGGATGATTTAATGAAGAGAAAAACCCAGGGGTATAAAAGTTATAGAAAGCAAGGATTTTTAAAAAACCTAGTCCTGCTATAGAAATCAAGCAGATTGTAGAAAATTGCAGGACATTTGGAGTCATTGTGAGAGATTTTTCTATAGTATCTGCATTCTTCCATGCATACATTTTTTATATTAAAATTAACCAGCTTGACAGGTGAACCATATTTCAACAACAGCAATAAGTCAGGCAAGCTATAGACTAACTTAAAGAACACAGAGGGGATATTTTGGGACAGCTACCTTTCTGATCCCTGATATTGGGCAATTATCTCATTTTACATATTCAGTAGTACACAGTTCCTGGAACACGCTAGTCTGGTTCATTGAGAGTGATCACTAAACTAATGAGAAATAAATTTGGCGAAAAGGTGAAAACTGATAGCTTTGATTTATGTCACACGTCATAAGCCATACCTAACCATGAATTTCTGAATAAGCAGAAAGCAGCAGACAGTTGACTTGGTTCACGCATTATGCTGTGACAAGACCAGTCTCTTTATGGTTTATTGCAATATGTAAAACCAGTCTCACTTGTCACTGAGTAATCCCTACAGGTTTCCAAGGATCTTCAAAAATCTCATTTTTCTTGTTATAATCCAATCAGAACCCATAAGTAGCATGTTTGTGACTAGAACTTGTTTAAAATTATTGTATTTCATTTGTTCATATTCCTGTTTGTAACTACTATAAATTGTGCATGTCTATAGTGAAACACCCAGTACTTACTTTTTAAAAATACCTAATCTGTATTTGGCTATATACAGAAGCCATGTTTACTGCTGACTAAGAAAATGTGGTTTGATACCTGATACTGCACCTATAAGTGTTTTTTCCCCCTTTTTCATCCTCAGATGCCTTCATTGTTTAACAAGAAACATATCCAAATATGCTGCAGATATCAAGCCTTTGCCTCCCAACATAAAAGATAAACTGATTAAATCATTGAGTATCCAAGGATGGATAACAGATACAAATATTAGCATGGTAAGATTCCATTTAGACCATGGTTCTTACTACTTTCTCAGTATTGCGCCTTACAAAATTGGAGATTTGTTACTATTACGTGCCATTCCCGTCATCTGTAGGCTGGTATGCAGAAGATGTTAAACCAGAGAGAGATAAATTGTGGCACTCTTGAAGTGTCAAAATTACTGCTCTCCTCACCATTGGCCATCCTTCCAGGTAAAGAAGTAGATGTTGTTGCTTGATATAAATGGAGTTGTTTTAGACATGGTCCTTTCTGAATGATGGACATGTTAGAAAAGATATATTAGAGAACAATAAAATGTGACCTGTATAATGAGAAAAGGGTCAGAAGAAATATCAGGTGATTGACAGGTGAGGCAAAATGTTCCAATTTGTTTTGTTTACAGGATGTTACATATCCCAGAATGCTTAAACTGCAAGCCATGCACTAAATGTCTTTAACCACAAGAATTTCCTTTTATGCCAGAATAGGTTGATACCTAATTTAACAATAGTATTCTAGACTGTATGCAAGTCATATATATAACCAATGACAAATTAACCTTAGATACTAAAGAAACTATATATTCTGAGCTTTGTGGTCTCAATTTGAAGACACTTTCAATTCTGTGATGATTGTGTCTTCCATTGCAATGCTTGAGCAGTAAACTTCCTGTGTTCTGCCAACTAAACAAGTATGAAGACTGATACTTCTTCTACCATGAGGATGCTGAGAGTTGCAGTTAGGCAGTTTGGAAGATTTTGAAATATGTGTTTGTATATGTTTAATTTAGCTTGCTATGTGAACCTAGCCACCATGATTTGTAAACCATTTATTGCTTAGTCTGTTATATAAATCTAGTAAATTGGGGCTTATCTCTTGTTAAAACATGGCTTAGAACAGTATATAAAACTAGTTACAATTTTTAAAAAATATATAAGTAAGCTGAATGACTTTTTACTTTCAGTGAGTGTTAAAACATTTGATGAACAGTTATGACTAAAAGGCTAAGGTTTCAGTATCCTCCATAGCATAATTTCTACTTCATCATCTTCGTTAGCTAGCCCCAATGGCTAGTCTGGGTTTCACACAGTTCACTAGGATTAAATCCTGACCTTTTAAACCCTAAATGACTGCACTGTACTAAACCAAAGCCATAGAAATCATGTTACAACATAGCACTCTATGTGAACCCAGTGAATGTCCTGTCTCAGGCCAGACATATACACATTCCGAGGAGTAATTGCAAGGGGCTTTACCCAGAATTTAGTAAATACAAATAGTGGCAGACACAGCATTTCTGCAAACACATGCGCAGAGCAATGAAATCCTAATTCCTAGAGAACTTGTCTGCAATGAGTTCCAAATGGCTAAAGTCCAAAGTGGGAGGCAGAAGTATAGTCAGGTCATGTCCAAAAGGCCAGACGTGAGTCATCACCCAGTCTGGCTTCCAAGGAGTAGAATATCCATTGGTAACAGGCTCATGAGGCACAGAGTTCTGATAGGCAGAGTGGTTGGAGAACTGCTGGACAGTGACAGACCTTAAATGGAATCTACACCAAGTGCAGGCAGTCAAGAGTGGGGGCACCCTTGCCATGCAAGAAGCCTCACAGATCTCCTCTGCTCTGTTCTACATTCAGCCCTACATGCTCTAGGGCTAGGAAGAGGTTTTGGATCTGTTCTCTCATCTTCTGCTGCCTCCAGCTGATTCAAATGTTCGTTGGCCACTTCAGCCTCAGGTGCCATATTGCTAGGCTCCTCCTGAGGCTGGTATTCAGCTAGGGCATCTTGAGCAGCTTCCTCCATCACAGTGAATGGCAATCACATTATTATGTAAGTAGCCATTCATAACAAATCGTTGCCAATTACACCAGAATCCTGGAGTTGAAGAAACTGTTTTGCTTTATTTATTTATATTTTAAAAAGTAAGATCTGATTGAAGTATTTGCCATTTTTAGGTTCTGCATCCCGCAGTGGAGGCACTGGATCTTCGAGACTGTGATATTTCAGACAACGCCTTGCAACAGCTTTGTAACTGCAGGCAGCTTAAAAAAATAAATGTAAATGTTTGGAAGAGCAACAGGCTAACCATAACTTCTGAAGGTATATGTTCTGCACAATAGTCATTTAAAAGAACACTGGGAGATACAAGTGATACTTGTTTGAGTTGTTTGTTATTTTCTCCTTTAATTGATATGCTTTGCAGATTATTTTAAGTAAGTAAACTAAAGAGGAGAAGATTGGTGCATTTTCTCCATGTATCTGGAGATGTATATGAAAGTGATTCATCTACTCTTTCATTAGAATGTGAAGGTTCTCTCTGTGTCATGCTGCTGGATGAAGTCTTCTATGGTGTCTTCATCCAGCTATCATCTCAGTCAAGCAAAGTTATGGAAATATAGGAGAATATTTTTGCAACTTTTCCATCTAGCTGCCCCAGAGCCCAGAGTCACAACCATAGCACAGTTTCAGAAAAATGGTGTAAGCAGTATAAGCATTTGCCTAGACTTGAAATGTTTCCAGCAACACACATATATATACACATAGGCACATTGCATGCAATGCAAATAAAAATTTTATTGAAATAACTTTGTAGAGAAGATTAAAAGAAATGAAAAATAATGGAAAGTAATGAAAATTATAATACCATTATAGATTATACTATGACTAAACTAAACTATATTAAACTAAATAACTAAATATATTATTACTAATAATTTAGTAATAATTAGTTTAATACAGTTAATAATTACTATTACTAAACTTTAAATTTTAATGCTACAAACTTTTTATAATAAGTCCTGAAACTGATGTTCCCTTTCCTTATTCCCTTGAGATACAAATACACACATTTTCTTATGAATAGAAGTTCACAAGGTCAACAGCATGTATTAGAATTGATCCCTCTGCTCGGAGTGCACAGTCTTTTTGACAGAAGAATCAAACCTTACCATTCTCAGAGGTTTATATTCTTTCAGCTGAAAAATAAGTTCTCAAAACTTACAGAAGATTCAGGAACAATATAAAATTGCAACTCCATATTGAATATGATCAATTTGTAAGGTATATACTTCATGAAATTGATTATGAGGTATAAGCAAAATTTAAGCCAATCAGCTGAGAAAGTGCACTGCCCTCCCCCTAAGCCATCTTGCCTCACCTTGGGTCATTCTTGTCCTATCAAAAACTGGAAAAAACAGAGACAATAAAATAGGAATAAGAAAAGTAGGCAAGTCAGTTGTCAAATAGCGCTAAGAAAATATATGATCCTATGGAAGTAATTCTGCAAAATTAAAGAAAAGAAGAAACATGAACGGATATCAAAGGAACTGACAGTGGTGGAAAAACTACAACAAAGGCCCACTTGTCATAAACATTTATGTGAGATCCAAGTGCCAATACTCATCAAACCAAGAAACGTAAGCAATAATTGGAGGCAGCAGAAAAAGAAAAGGGACCCAAGATTAACCATCCATCCTAAGAAGAGAGGAAGTTAGGAGAACCGCAGGACAGACAAGGACCAAAAACAAAATCAGCTCACAGAATGGTGTCAGCAGAAACAGAATGGAGGAGGGTCAAGTGGAATAGGATTCATGGATTCATACTGGTCAGCAGTTGTGGTGTCAGCAGAATTTTCTATAAATGGACATAACTAGACACATTTGTAAGTGTTTTGTGGTCAGAATATGTGAGGAACAAGAAGACAATTTCAACAGAGGTGGTGAACTGCTTCCAAAACTAAGAATTGGGATGCATGAGGGGTAATAAGTTGAAGATGAAATCTGACAAGTCTCAGGTTCCCAGGTAGTTGGTTCCCATGTTTGGACAGCTGTTCCATTCTAGCTATCCACCTTCTGTCTTGGCTTTCTCATAAGTGAAAAGTTGTGCTTTTGTGCCTTCCTTGAGGCTTTCCAACACATGATCTCTCTTTCTAAAACCTGCCTGCAGGCCTGCCTCCAAGCAAGTGATTCATATTCTTCATTTCCTTCATTAGTTTAGTAGGTAGTGTATGGTGAACCAAACTGGTGGAAAAACTGATCTTAAAGAAAGCCAAAACAATTGGAAAAATCCAAAACAGTTTCCTTTATTAAGCTAACAAAGGATACAAGTAATCACTGGGCTCTCAGCAAGCAAGCCAAAAGCTGATACCTTGTCAACACAGATCTTATTATAGGTTACACCAAATTCTAAGGGGTATAGGTAATTGGATAATTGGTTTACAATTCTCTATATAAGGAATAGGCATTAGCTGAAAGGCACAGGTACCAAGTCAATTACCATTAACCAAGTTACTGTAGCAGTCTGACTCTTGATTTTTTAAACAGGAAAATCTAAATGGGTTTATTTTCTTCATCCTTGAGTAAATTAGCATACCTTGAGGCCATCCGGCCTGCATATCAAAGCCTCCTTTTGATGCAGGGAGGACAGTTACTTAGTAAAATATGTGGGTCTTGTAAAGGGAGATTTGCTGCTGGCAAGGCAGTTTGACCTTACAGGTGAGGCAAGAAGAATGTTAACATTGCAAGGTAAACAGATCTATGTGGGATTGCTAACTAGCACAGCCTTCTACATTCTATGCAGTTCACAAATATAATCCAGGAGAGCACAGCCTGAGATCCTAAGTCTACATACAATGCCTAAATCACTCCAGAAATTAACACCCATTTGTAATACAGTGTAAAAATGTAATAGGTTATATAAACTCCGGTAATTGTATTTAATATATTTAATTGTATTTTACTGTGAATGTAAATGAAATGAAATTTAAGGTTTGGCCTGTCCCTACCCAGTTCTTTGTCCATTGGCCATGTTGGCTGGAGCTGGTGGTAATAGTAGTCCAGATCATCTGGCCAGACCTTGATTGGTTGGTCTACACCAGTGGTCTTCAAACTTGAAATACCTGAAGAACCTTTCTCAATGTGAAAAATCAGTGTGCACTGTTTATACTGATTAATAAGTATGTTTCATGTAATACATTTTATTACATTGTGAGCTGCATAGAGTCATTGTATGACATAGGCGGCCGTCTAAGTTCTGTAAATAAATAAATAAATTGAACAAAATGTTACAATTAATGTTGCAATAATGCATTTCATACAATGTAAATAGAAACTGTCATGTTGAAACCCTGGATGATTTTCATGGAACCCTGGGGTTCCAGGATCACAGTTTGAATAACATGGGTCTATACCAATAGGCTGGGAGTACTCTAGAATCTCTTTCAAAGGTCTTTTCCAGTCATCTGCTTTTTGGTTCAGATGTAGTGACTGAGAAATGAATGAAAAATTAGAAAAACAGATGAAGAAAATGTACACACATATAAATTGTTGTGGAAACATTAACCTATGATGATAGAAATTTTAAACAGTATTGAACAGCAGTATGCTGACAATGAACTTGGTGTCCAGATGCATTTCACCTTGCTGTGACTTCAGTGGTCCAATCCATAGTCTTGGTTGAAAACATGACTCTCTTAAGACACTTCTCATTACTGGGTTTCCATCAAGTTCAGAAAAGGAAATGATTGATTTCTTTAAAAATCAACAAAAAATAAAATCCTTTATGTACATTATGCAAATTAAAACTCAGTGAAATCAAACTCTTACATTCAAATGTCTGGTAATAGAAGTCTACCTACTGGAGAATGACCTCCTTCTCTCTCCAACAGGTGTTGCAGCACTGGCCTTATCATGCCCCTATTTGCGGGAAGCCTCCTTTAAGAGATGCAGCAACCTAACAGACAGTGGGGTCCTTGCTCTTGCCCTCAACTGCCCCTTTTTACAAATAGTCAGCTTAGGCGGATGCTCCAACATCACAGACACATCCTTACAGGCCCTTGGAAAGAACTGTAGATCCCTGCACAGCGTGGATTTTTCATCAACCCAAGTAAGATTGAAAAGCATAATAACAACAACAGCATCTTGAAAAACAATATAAGCAGTTAAAACAAATGACTCATAAATAACTCCATAAGACTCTTTGTTATCAGTATTGGGATTCCAAAATCAAGAGGGATGAAATGGCTGTCTTTTAATAATTGGAAGTAGTAAGTTGTTCTTTACTTGGCTTGGTCGGCAGGCATTAGATTCTGGGTTCTCAATGTGATGCCCAAGGAAAGCAGTGTTCCCCATTGACATTTCAGTTTATGTCTGTAGAGATTTAATGATATGTTTGATGTTGAATGTTGCTTAAGCATGAGTAAAATCATGAAAGTAAAAAGCAGGCAGCTGGCACTGTGACCCTGGAAAAGAGATAACAAAAACCAGACTGTTGTCTTTGTCATGGTCTGATAGGAGGCAGTATATGGCACAATAAATACCATTGTTTATGGTAGATGGTGTTAGTATCTCAGGCAGGAAGAGAGTTTTGTTAGTTTAGAAGAAAGCAGGGACACTGCACTAAGGTCATCCCCTAAGTATTATCAGAGATAGTCTAGTGATAGAGGTCATAGTATGATTTATTATATTGTCTTAATCATTCCAACAAACCAAACGTATATAACCTGTAACCTTGCTTTGTTCAGTGTTCCTTAGTGACAATCATTTTTGTGCATGCCAATATAATATACTTGGTTTCAATTATCTCTGATCACTTTGGTTCCTTATTAAAGTGGGCAGTTTATACCCACAACATGTGTATGAGGCTCCTTGTCTAACATGACTGCTGTTAAAAAACAAAAACAAAAACAAAAACAGCAACTCTGGATGTTCAAAGCAGATGTGTCCTTTCCAAGATAAAGTAGACCTGCTCACTCGACCTGCAAGCCTTTAGATTTAGGAATGCATTAGAAAGCTAGGAATACTTTCTTTATAGGGTTGCCCTTGATGGACATCTGGAAACTTAAACATGTGAAAGACACAGTGGCAAGATTTATTTCTGGGACTGAAAGAGAATTTATTGGCCTTATGAATATGAGGGTAGGCACGGGTGCATTAGAAGTTCAAACTGACTTTTGGGTAGTCTGTTGGGAATGTATTTCCTGTCTATACATTCTGAAACCAGAGATGCACAACCTTTCTGGACAGGGACCACACCTGGCCTTTAAATTACATGTGCGTATCCACACTCCAAGAAGGTAGACGGGGTGCAGGATAAAACTCAAATTTGATTTCTGAATTCACATTTAGAGTTAATTAAAATTAATTAGTCAGTTAAATGCAGCTAATACGATTGGTCCTCATGTATTTAATAAGTGCCCTCTTTCAGCCAGAGTAAAATTTAAGATGGCTATTTGGGATGAAATATGGCTCTCTTTTAATGAGCCACAAAAGCTTTGATTAGGTCCTTCTGTTGTAAGTTCAAGGTGAGGTGTTAAGACATAGAATGAAAAACTTAAAACATTTCAGCCACCAAATCCCTCCCCCTGCCCTGCTCAGTGTAGTACAGGTAGTCCCCAGTTCTGTTCTGTTCCCAAGGTCTGTCCTTAAATTGAATTTGTATGTAAGCCGGAACAGTATAATTGTAAAATACTGTATAAGAAGTATTGTTTAATGAACTCAAACCATTGTATATTTAACTCAAATCATTGTGTATTTAACTTGAATTTTGCTACAGTAGGCTCAGTTCTTAACTATGGGTTGTCTGTAACCCAGGCATTCTTAATCCGGGGACTACCTGTAATCCAAATTAAATCCCAGACAAATGGTTGTCCAACTTCTGCTTAAACAGATCCAGTGAAGGGGAACCTAGTACTATCTCTAGGTAATTGGTTCCACTGTTGAATTTCTCTTAGTAATTAAGTTTTTCTATGTTCAGTCAAACCATACTTTGTTAAAACTTCATTATTTCATTTACTGCACTCTGGAATGTTTCATTATCTAGAGTTAGAACAGATTCCTCCTTATTTATAGTTAAAACAAATGTCTCCTTATCTTGAGATAAAACAGAGGTCTTCTTAAATAGGCATTTTTTCTTTCCTATGCGTATGTTTTTCTATACATAAGATGTATGTCTTTTTTTACATGGGTTTTGTTACATGATGTACTCATTTGTTTATACTGGCAGGAGCCAGCCTTTATAAAACGGTATTACTACTGCCTGTGCAATCTTTCATGATCCTTAATTTAAACATATAAGGAAAATATCCCAACGCTATCTTTGTTTTCTGAGCTTTGGACTTGTCTCTGCTAAATTTCAACTTTTTCCAAAGCTTTTACTTAGTGGTTAGGATGTAAGAAATTTTCCTTGCTAATTAAGGAACCTTTAATCTGGCCTTGTTGTTTATTGCATTTTCCTTCTGTTTTTATGCAAACTATTTTGGGGACATATATAAATAAAAACAATAGATTGTGTATAGATTTCCATCATTTGAAGAAAATAAATAATTATTTTGGCTTCCATTTGATAGAAGATCCTTTTTTCCATTTAGGTTACTGATGATGGTGTAATAGCACTTGTTAGTGGAATGTGTTCAAACAATTTAAAGGTAACATTTGAATATGTTTAATTAAAGTTTTTATTAATAAGTTAATATGTCGGGGAAAAGAAAATTGCCACACCAACACTCAATGAAGGCATTCGAAAGGGTACTTTTTTAATCGACAGCTGTTGGGCAAACTCTACTGAGAAGTGTGCTTACTGTGTATCATATCATCTTTTATATATTATACTTATATACCATATAAGGTAAAAACTTGTTTTTCATGAGTATCATTGGGTACTAAATATAGTATGTTGTTTTTCACTAGTATTATTGGTCAGTAAGTGTGACTATGTGTTCAAGTCGTTTTCCTGTTTTTGTCTGTTCTTGCACATTATCCACATATGGTTTCCTGTGTGCCAAGCAATGCGGAAACAAGAATAGATTTATATATATTTGCTGAGCCAAAGGTTTTACTACTGAAATAAGCTTAAAACACACAAAGACTGAAATACATTCATTGAGCCCTCTCAGTTTCCCTCTGTTGCTCATCATTCTATGTTACCTCATTTTCTCCACCTTTCCTGAGATGTATATTGTGAGTTCTGAGAGAAGATGTTCAAAAGAGAATAGCACTCAGGTGGGGCAGTGGGGACCCTAATATGTTCATACAGTTGCATGATCTGTAGTCTAGGAGATCTCTTTTGAAATATAAATGTACTACTGCAAGAGAGCAATACTTAGATACAGATAAATCCTACTAAAGAAGTCAAAGCTGTTTGTAAAATCAGTTTCTCTATGCTTCCAAAATTCAGCCAGCCAAAAAGTATATTTTACCACATACTTGCAGGAGTTTGGTACACACTCTGTTCAATTTCCTTTAACTTTTTAAGCGGGGCTTCAATGAAATCATCTTTGTTAGTTAGATTGAAACAAAATCCACAAATCCACGATCTGCTCTTAAAAGTAGGTAATCTAGGGCAATGCTGCCTCATCTCTAATTTCAACTGAAATTAAGGTAGCGGTAAGATTTTTCTCTAAAGCACATGCTTTCTTCATGTCGTGATATACTTTTATTGTTAAGCCAAGCACTCCAACTAAGGAGACAGCAAGGGATACCACTTCTGTGTTGACAGTAAATTTAGCTCACTGTCACAGTCAAAGGAGGGGGACTTTCTTTCCTTACTCTAGAGATGTACATGTGGGAGCGCATACAAGGAAGTCAATTGACCAACAATTTGCAGGAATATAACAGAAGGCACTGAAATACGTAGCAGGAGGATACTCTTTGGTAAATCTCAATGTGCTTTGGCATATGAGATTCAAATTACCCTAGAGCAATTCATCCTTTGAGGGATTAGGAACACCCATGGCTTCATGCAATTATTTGAGGCATTAGTCATTCCAATAATCTCTATTCTAGTACCCCTCTTATTGTTCCAATCGTATTTCACAAAACAGGGATTTATTTTATTTATTTAATTAGTAATAGCTACTGATGGCTTTATTCCTTATCCTTAATAGGAGATCCATATGGAACGATGTGTGAATTTGACCGATATAGCTGTGGAAGCTGTCCTCACGTATTGCCCTATGATATATATTCTTCTGTTTCATGGATGCCCACTTGTAACAGGTGACTTGAAATCTTAACTAGAGCAGATATTTGGAGATGTTCATTGGAAGCCACATCAAGTGCCATCAAAATGACATTGCATGCATTATGACATCATCATTCAAATTATGTAATTTACATTTGCTGCAGGACATCATAATGACATCTGACATAACTTGGCTTTGAAAGAAAATATTTCTAGCTACTCTAAACAATAGATTTAAAAATAGAAGTCAGAAGAGAGGTGTGAAGAATTAAATGCCAAATATCCTTGGTATTTTAGACCTGCTACTATCTAAAAGCCAGAGTGAGGCTAAAATAGGAGTCTGCCTATAACTGTAAAACTGCTTGCCAAGAATAAAGAAGCCACAGTTAATCTCTTTACATATTTAAAGATATTAACAAACTCAGGTTTGCTGAGCACGCAGAAGGAAATTTGCAAATAGCAACCCACAGTAGGAGGAACAAGAGAAAGTACAAGGAGACATCACATGAGCCAAAATGTACTATGTCTTTTGCACACACTGTCTAGTTATAGTTTGGTGGTATGTTTAAATATGGCTATGAAGGGGATCTTCCAGGGATATCAGTACTAATTCATTGGCAAGAGATTTATTTATTAGATTTATTTATTTTATTTATTAGGTTTATAGCCCACCTTTTATACAGTAGCTCAAGGCAATGTACATACTGCTCCCTCCTTAATTTTCCCCACAAAAACCCTGTGTGGTACCTTGGGCTGAGAGAGAGCAACTGATCCAAGTCGCACACAGAGCTGCCATGGCTGAGGGTGGACTAGAATCTGAGTCACTCCACTCCAATACCTTAATTACTATACCACACTGGCTCTTTTATTATTATTTTTTAATCTGATAATTATCTTTAATGATCTTACTGTTGCCTGTTATGGCAGTTCTAGCATTTAAGCTCACACCTTCTCAGTAGGAAAGATCATTGGTCTCCTGTTCCAACAGTTACTTCTTTGGCTTCGTGGATAAAGATATAAAACAATTATTAGCATTTACATGATGGAAGGAGCCACTGCAGTAATTAATTTAATAATATGAATTGCATAAACTGGTATCAGCTTCTTTCTTGAAACAAACAAGGGTCTTGAAGAACTGCTTTGTTAGGTTCCCCAAGTCAGAATGATCTAGGTTGTAATTCCCAAGGGCTTAGACTATGCAGCTAGGAATTATGTCTTGACTGTAGTTTAGATATGGCAACAATTTCAAACAGTTGATGGTCTAAGTGACCAGGAGAGAGAGCACAGAATTTACAGTCCATTCTTGCTTCAAAGCTTGTGCATTCTCTGTTGTGCTTCCCGCGTTGAAGCCCTTTGGCCTTCCTTTTCTCACACTCCCTGGAACTGTTTGTTGAAAGTTATAGCATGTTTTCATTCTTTGAATTCCTGTTCTGGCAATCTCTGCCATTAATAAAACTGTAACATGCTTATAAAATATTTAACACATTGTGTAACAGCTAGCAAAATATCCAGTAAATAATAAATCAACATATTAAACTGGATTTTGGTTATTTATACAATGGCACTGTAGAAAAATAACTGAAACACATTTCTTCCCATGACTAGGTATTAGTTTATCCTTGTTCCCTATCCTTAACATTTCCTTATCCTTAAAAATAAAAACTGAACATATCCTTTATTTGCAGATCGTTCCCGAGAAGCACTGGAGCAGCTGGTTGGACCCAAAAAATTCAAGCAGGTTTCATGGACTGTTTATTGATTTTTTTTGTGTGAAGTTACAAGGCATTACTCTTTTCATTTTCTTTTTTTTTTCCCCCAAAGGACCATTCTTGAAAGTCTTCTGATCAATTTGTGCATTTGTTGTTGATAGTCTTAGTTGCCATTCATGTTTGTTCTTCTCCAAGCTAGGTGGTATCAGTGTTCTGCATTTTTTGTTTTCCATGTGTTGTTCTGGAAGTTCATGGAAGAGGGCTTTAGGGCTCTACTTCTTAAAAAACATTACATTCTGTACTAATAAAGGGCCAACAGTGAATAAGGGAATGCACAAAGCAGAAAGAACACCAGCAAGCTAATGGGAGCAAATTCCATGGAAGCATCTTGTCATGCTGCCTGCTCTGCTGCCACATAAGTGGGGACCAGTTCTGTTCCTAGGCATCCATTTTAAGTGGAGCCATGATTTGTTTGTGTCTGAATAAAACTCACATCTTCATCAAGTAGTACAGTGCATGAATTTCATTTAATTCTGTTAATAACCAGACACAGAACATGTGTTTATAGAACTTAATATTGTTATTTTCAAGTGAAAAAGCTAATGTGTGGCTTTGCTGATACCTGCAGACTGGGATGACATATTCCACCCTAATTAAGGTTTGTTTATTTATTTAATAACCTCTTCCTTCTACTCAAATGACTATTAAAGGCAAGTTATAGTAGCAATGATTAGAACTTTTATTTTTGAAAGCTTTTGCCAAAATAAACATGTTAGTCTGTAAGCTGACTCAAGACACTTGTTTTTGCTACAGAAGACTAACATGGGTACTTTTTGGAAATTATTACACTAGGATATTGACATTTTCCTTAGCCATAAGAAAAATATTGGCCACTATGGCCACTAACATATCATGTTGACATTCTTCTAGATTGATGTAGTTACTGCTTACTTTTTCCCTTTATCATGAGTATTAATTATTGCTGAATAAATAATTTGATCTTCTTCCTAAATGAATAATATAGGACAACCTTCAGAATTCTCACCCAGCACTGTTAGGACAGTACACGGAGTACAGAGAGAGAAAGTATGATAGGAAATAAAAGGCTTGATCGGACCTAAGAGACTAGCTGTGTTTGAGCAGAAAGCAGCCTTTGTGAACATATTCAGTAATTGTTCCTGTATGATAATGATCAGCTTAATAAAAAAAGTCAAGCCAGAATGATCCATTTGTTTGCAAACATGAGTAGTAACAAAAGTCATGCCAGAATGGATAGGATGATATTCCACTTCAGACCAGGATATTACATCAAATGTATGCATAGAGTGGCTGGGAGGACATAATAGATGAGAACCAATGATTGAAAATCAAACATTCTCATGGATGTGGATATTATAGAAATGCACTGGATTAATTTTAAAAAGTTTTTTAAAAAAACAGTTGTAATTAAAAACTTATGAAACTACTTATATATGATTAAAGCAAAGCATACCACTTACTGAGACTTATATATACATACACTCTTGGTGTCTATATTTAGTCTAATTTTCATTATACAGTAACTGCTATTTCAGGAATATTCCTGAAACCAGGAAATTGCTTATTATCTTAAATGCATTTGTTTCAGTTACTATAATTTCAAAACAATATTGGCTTAAATAATGAGTGACTACCATTCTAGGTTGTACTTGTAGACTGATCCTTTTACAAAGGATACTTACAGAAATATCAAATGATTATAGATTATTTTCTACGTATTTTTGAATTTTTGTCCTTTACTGTCCACATTAGAACTGATAATCTCATAGTATGCAAACCATAAAAGCAACAGTAATTCAAACCAGAATAATGTAGATGTTTTTATAAAAAACTGAATTCCAATTTTGGTTGTCTAAAACATATGGTGACACGTTTTCTGACGTCAAAAATCATGTTAAAAAATGACTGAGGATATATGTTACAGATTATAGGCAGAAAAGTCAAAAGGAGCCTGTGTAGACTATAAAAAAATGCAGACTATACAAAATGTGGAAAATGTAAAAATTCAGATAAGTGTCTGATTGATACAGTGGCCAGTTGGTTTGATAATAAAAAATATCCTCTCACTAATTAGTTAGCTACATGAAATATAGAATGTGAGGGTGGATATAAAAAGTGAACATGTTTAATTTTGTGTGTGTTTACCAAGAAGTAATTCCCCATAAAGTCAGCTACTTACTTCCAGATAATTATATTGAGGCTTTAAAAGGCCATTCAAGTTCAACATTATGAATAGAAAGTATCTCCCCCCACTTCATGCTAAGATAATAAATCTTTACTAATATTGTCCCAAACCACAGTAATAATCTTAAGCACCCCATAAAAGCTTTGCTGGATTACGCTGAAGGATTTTCAGTTCACCATCCCATTTGCATTTCTCTCCATGGTCAGCCTGATTTCACCTTGAATTCCTAGATGGGACATTGTAGTGTTCCTGTGGAAGAAATAGTGGGGAAGTGTGGTGATGTGGTCCACTTTTTCCCTCTGCACACATAAGATTTTATAGATTCTTCATACCTATACACATAAAAAGTTACACAGCAAGCTTTATAAAATCATACGTTGCTTTTCACTAAAAGGTTATGTTCACCTTTACTCCTATATTCATATTTTGAACTTCATATCTTTATGACAACTTCATAAGGATAAAGGTAATCTTTATCTTGACACGTGTTCCCTCTTCCAACATCTGGAAGATAAATAGATGTAAGCCAAGTGCGATATCTTAGATGAAGTGTCTTGGCAATTATTCAAATATTTGGGTTTCATCCAAGCTACTGATAGGGTGGGCCACCAAACCATCTCCAGTTGTTATTTACAGTACTCTATTTTGTATAAAGATGGCAGACACCCCAAGTATTTTGAGTCTTGGGGCAGATCAGAAGACTTCGGAAAGTGCTATGTTCTTGTCAGCCAACTCTGGGGGCCCATCCACTATCATTCCTGGAGTTCCTGACAAGCAAAAGGGCCATATGGTACGTCTTTCTTCTGAAATTCTCTTAAGCTATACTTAACAAAATTTCTGGCATTTACCTTGGTGTGAATTACCTCTATTCTTTTTGAATTATAGAACTGGTCACCAGCTGGCCACCAGTGCCACAACAGACAGGAAAGACAATTGTCCTCTCCAACAACTAGCTGTCAGGTATAGTGCCTGAATTTGGACGTTCCATTAGATATTGTTAGCTGCTGTTGATAGGCCCCGCTCCAAAAGTAAAATTTATTTTAATTCACATAAACAGTATTGTTTATATTTTTAAATAATACATTTTCAGCCACAGTCAGGCAAAGTTTTCCTTTTAATTGTGCTTCATACTATTGTCCCACTCTGGCATGGCTGCATCTTTAGCTGGCACAAATCCAAACTGAATTTTTCAAACATATTGGAATGTACATAGTGATAGAGGCTAAAATCTCAGTGTACTAAAACTGGAGTTCAAGAGATTCAAAGTAACTTCATCTGGTTTAATATTTCCAAGCTCCCTGAAAATTAAGGCTGATAGTTCCAGATAAAAGTTTTGGTTGAACCGTTGTTTTCTTCTGGTGATGATTCAGGGAGAACATATTCACTAACTTTGTGCAACTTTCTTTGAATTTGGTGGGTCACAAAATAGGGTCTGCCAGGGTCCCCGATCAGCACTTCAGTTCCATGATCCTGGACGCACTTCTTCAACCACTCTGAGAGGCTGTCTGCAAGTTCTTCATTGTAAAACATGTCTCCTAGGACAATAAGGTCCCACTTGCCTATATCTGTACCAATCAGGTTCTCCGTTAGAACAGGGAAGGGATCTACATTGTTCAGTTCACAGTTAAGCACTATGGCAGCAGCTGCAACTGAGATACCAAGGAAACAAGTGATCAGCATCAAGATTCTTTCTCTGAAAATCCCAAATTAACAATCAACTTTGTACAGTTAATATCTCTTGGATAATGATTTTCTTCCTCAACTGCTGTAGGAAGTATACAGGAAAGAGCTGACAAAGGAATAGGAACGTGACCTGAAATTTAGATATAACCCAAGGTTACTTTTCCTGGAGACCATCTGATGCAAGGCAACATCCTTGCTTCCTAGTAAAAAATATGCTTGCTGCTTGCCTCCCCACTTCACTCACATTATGTCAAATGTATTCTCCTACATATAACTCCTTGTTGCCTCTGGTAAGTTTTTAAATACAAGACTTCAAAATAAGACCAACAGACAGCTTTCCCATGGAGGACATGGGAACCTCTTCTGCCTGAAGTACCTCCAGATGGGAGAATAAGGTATTTGAAAGCCATTCTTTATACAGTGGAGATACTCCAGAAACTGCCAGTATACACACAGCAATATTTCTAGTACTCTTTCCATGTTACCGCCTTGTTAGATTCATTCTCAAAAAATAAACGTCCGCCAAAGGAGATGAGCAGTTGCAAGCTTAGCATCTTGTGTGAACCCAGCCACTGTGATTTGTAAACCATGACTGATGACAGCATGGTACAAATCCAGCTAAGTTTAGTTTATTGTAAACCATGATTTAGCATGATGTGTGAACATGATCTAGGAACTGCTCTCTTAAGGGCGTCTCTGTCATGTGTAAAATTAAACTATCATATGATCTGCTTTTAGCTTAGTATGAGATGTGAACTCAGTCATAACTTAGCATTATTTCCTTTTTTCTTTTTACCCACTTTCATTATTATAATTCTATTATGTGTGAACTAGGCCACAGTAGCTTGTTGAACAAACCAGAGTTTAAGAATCCTGAGTTATCATTATTATCATTATGTGTAAATCTATATAGACCTTTGGGTTTCAAAACAAGCTTGACACTGTAGGATTGTTCTAATGAACTTAGCCTGTCCTGCCCTTGGTAGGAAATAGCTTACCAGGATCAGTGTCATTGGCAACTACGTGTGATGCTCCACTTAGTGCAGCTGCAATAGCTGTTGCTCCACAACCACTTCCTAGCTCCAGAACTTTCTTCCTCTGGACCACCTTTGGGTTATCAAGAAGGTATCTGAGTAGATTTTGAAAAACAAGAATAGTAAAAAAAAAAATCTTGCAAAGTCTGTAAATCAGTTCATTTCAGAATTCCTTAAACCAATTTGATTTGAAGGTGAACTTTACATTTCTAAGGCAAAATGCTAAAAACTGTCTTTTAATATGAAAGTCCTTCACCTTCAACTAGGTTAAAATTGTATGAGAGAGTGAAAGTGACTAACAGAAATGATGGTTGTTACACATTTTTATTTTTGCAAACCGTATGTGAAGCTCAACTTCAAGAAAGTCAGCTTCTCATCATGGAACAAAAATCATATTCAGTGACTATTTCTGAAGGAAAATGCAGGAGCATGATTAATCTGGGCTAAGTGAAGGTCACCACTGGAATTCAGAAGTGGAAAGATGTCTTAATATATAATTAAGATAGTGTATTAGGCCATATTTATTTTAATTATGACTTATTAAATAAACCATAATTGGTTTGCTTCCATGAATTGTGCTATACCAGAAACTATGGCATACAAACTAGCTAGGTTCATGTGCTGCAGTGCTAAACCAGCCAATGATAGGCTGTATCAACACAGGTATAACATTGAAATAACAAGAAGGGCTTAAGTGGTCAGACCACACCTGGAATACTAGGTCCAGTTCTGGTCACAAAATACAAGAAGGATACTGAGGAACTGGAAAGAGTGTAGAGAAGACTGACAAGGGGCTTGAAAACTAAACAGTATGAAGAACAGTTAAAGGAACTAGGTATATTTAGCCTAAAAAGAGAAGTCTAAAAGGAGAAACAATAGCAATCTTCCATTGTTTGAATGTCACAGAGAAAAGAGTGTGGATTTATTTTCTATAATGCCTGAGGATGGGGTGGATTTCATAGGTGAAATCCAAACTCAAAATCAGCAATTTCCTGACTGTGAGAGCCATTAAGCCTGCCTCCTGGAGTCAATGGTGGAGGTTTTCAAGCAAAGGCTGGACAGCAATTTGACTGAGATAGTATCAGGATTCCTGTCCTGGGCAGGGTGCTTTTACTTATATTGACCACCAGGAGGAAGTATTAACTGGTTTCAGCTGGTAAGTCCTAAATAGGACAAAACTGGTCATATATTGCCCCCTGATGGTCAATATAAGTAAAAGCACAGCACAGGGTATACAACACGTGTGTAAAAATAGAGAAATTTAAATCCTTAAAAAGAGGTTGTGGTAGAACTCATATAAAACCTTGATAACATCCATATCTCTCTGATATGAGAGCTTAAGAAAAGGAAGGTGGATCATATATACCATTTTAAAGATAGATTCAACCAAAACTAAATAAATAAACTAAATAAATCACATTATGGCAATATGTGAACCCAACCAATGTGGCCTGGTCTGCATTTTATGGTGATGTTTGCTTTAATGTAGTCTTGTGAACTTTTGCTGAGCCATGGTTTACCTAACAGTAAGTAACCTTTCAGGGTCCAAGAGACATATCTAATATTTTGGAGGGCTGAAGGCCACAAACAGGGTGAGACACATCATGCATGTGGCTGGGACTGGAATTTTGGGAATATTTTTTTTAATGATATACTTTTTTTTATAGTTTACATTTTTATGGTTTCTCACCTCTGGATGGAAGGAAATTGGGGTCAGTTTTCAGCTATCATCATCTGAGAAGGATCTGAGGGCCACATACAGCTTTGGCTCTGCAGATTGCGTATCTCTGATTTCCTGAGTAAAGCTCAAAAGGCTGGGTTCCCAGAATACAGTAAGCTATAAGCTATGGTTTACAAGTCACATTGGTTGGGTTCACACAACACTATAGTCGCAAACAAATTACATTTTGGTTGAATATGCTGCAGGAACCCAGTCAATACATCATGTTGGCTGAAAATTCTGGGAGGCCACTAGATTGGGGAAGGTTGCCATATGTAGTTACATCTTGTATGTGGCAGCCTGGGTTCACTAAAGGATCAAAGTGAAAATACCTGGTCTGTTTACGAGATTGATATCCTATATAGGAGCTCTTCAATCTTTCTCCTTTGTCCTCATAACAACAACCCTGTGAGATAGGTTGGGCTGAGAGAAAGAGAGACCAGCCCAAGACTGCCCACTGAACTTCTGAGCCCAAGAGCAGATTTGAATCTGGTCTTCCAGCTTCTGGTCCAACACCTTAACCAGTAGACTACACTGGCTTTCTTTGTTTAGCAAAATGCTGTACTTGCAAATAACACAAGAACAGGAAAATAGCCAGGACCAGTTAAGTTTTCTCAATGGTCTGGGAACAGGAAAAAGCAATTATGGCAATCATAAAAGAGGTGGAAGTTTAAAACCACAAGGGTCAGGACTGCAAAATCAAAAGAATTTGGCAAACTCAACCCAAGTTCTTGTGATACATGATGTGAGATTACCAAAATCTTTCAAGTCTTTGCCTTATTACCTTCTATTTCATTCTGAGTTTTGTAGGCACTGATTCTGAGATTGTCATTCTAGCAATTATTGAAATAGGGATTAAGCTTAGTTTGGAGGTAGCTACATTATCTCTGAAGGCTTGAAATCATTGTTCAGTTATATTTCTAGATCCAATCCTGAACCTGGATACACCAGTTTCAACTAGGCCTCAACTGTTCCAGAAGATATCATAATTCAGCCTGGTGACTTATGCAATAAATTCAACTTATATGAACATACCCCCTATGAAAAGTTTCTGGAAACCTCAGAGGTCCAAAACACTGTAGCTAGTTTAATAACTAGGGCCAGTGATAGACAGCATATAGCTTCTTTGTTAAAACTAGTTCCACTGGCAGCCAGTCCGTATTTGGGCACAATTCCAAGTACTGTTTATGAGCTTTAGGCTGGGTTTGCATCACGCACACATCTATCAACATTGTAGCTTAGTGTGGTATGCAAATCCAACATATGGTTCGTTTATTGTCAGTTCACCTTCTCCAATCTGGACATCTTCCTGATATGTGGACTTCAACTCCCAGAATTCTCCATCCAGCACGATCAGTGTTGAGAACTGTGACAGCTGAAACTGACAATACTGAGGGCATTTTATTTAGGGGAAGCTGATTCAGGGTATCAGCAGAACTGAGAAAGAAAGTCC